CCCTAAACCCCTAAACCCTAAACCCCTAAACCCCTAAACCCTAAACTCTAAACCCCAAAGCCCTAAACCCAACACCCTAAACCCTACACCCCTAAACCCTAAACTCTGTTGCGTCTTGCCTGCTCGCAGCGCAGGGCATTGCCCTGGCGCGCATAGGCATCGATGAGGGCAGTGTAACCTCAGTTAGGGCTTAAGGGGTTCAGGGTTTAGGGGTTTAGGGTTTAGGATTTAGGGTTTAGGGGTTCAGGGCTTGGGGTTGAAGGTTGAAGGTTCAGGGTTTACGGCTTGGGGTTTAGGATTCAGGTTTTGCGGTTTGAGGTTTGGGGATTTTAGTTTATTTGATAGGCATCGATTGGGGCAGCGTAACCTTCATGGCCACGAGAGGTTCAGGCTTTATGGTTATGGGTTTCTTTGACGGTTCCTCCAAAGGATCTGGTTTCGGGGTAAATAATAAGGAACCCACAAAATGGTATTGGTATTTATTTAGGCTCCTATATGCTCTCCTATTAGGGCCGTCAACGCTAAGGACATCTTCTCCTTTGCAGGACCTGAACCCTGAGACCACCTTGTTCAAAAACCCTGCGGTGCAGACAAGGGACACGTAATTATTTAGGCTCCCAGAGGCTGCCCTAAACCCTAAACCCTAAACCCTAATCATTTAGGCTCCCATATGCTCCTACGTTAGAACCCTGAGACCCCCCCCCCTTGTTTAAAAGCCTTGCCGGTGCAGACAAGGGACACCACACGTTCGGGCTAAAGCCTCGTTGGTGGAAGCCTGGCTCAGAGCTCCGGGGCTTTAAAAAAGGGATGGGTTTAGGGTTTAGGGTTTAGGGTTTACCTTCAAGACTTCCAATGAAGGGTTCCCTGAAGGGCTGGATAAGTGCTTCCGGCTTAGACTTCACGGGGGTTACAGCGAACCCCAGAAACTTGGAACATGGGTTTAGGATGCTTTGTGCTGGGACCCCTTATATTCTACCTTAAGGCGAGGAGGGTTACAATGCAATGGGAGGCCCTAATATAGTACCCCAAACAGTAGGATCCTTAACATAAGGACCCCAAAATAAGGCACCCCTTCTTTTCGGAAGCTTCCACAAGGGTGGAGCTTAGGACTATCAACCTGGGGCTTAGGACGAATATCTTGGGGCGGCGAGTTCTAGGGTTTAGGGTTCACGGTTACTTCTTAAAGTTAACAAGGGCTTGGCTTCGTTTTTGTCCTAAGCAGAAAACTTAGCTTTAAACTCCTAAACCGATGCTGAACCGTAAACCCGCAACATCCTGAAACCGGGCTTTCAAGGTGCTGAGGCTCTGAATTAAGCTTAGGGTTTAGGGTTTAGGGGTTTGGGGTTCAGGGTCTAGGGTTTAGGGTTCAGCCAGTTCAGGCGGTACAGCTCCATGCAGGAATCCAAACATGTTTGCTGCATATATATATATATATAGATATAGATATAGATATAGATACAGATATCGATATAGATATCTAAGTTACTTGGCACATGTACATCAAAACCATATTGAAGCACCTGCAGAATCCTGACTCTAAGCACATATTCCCAACATCCGTGAAGCCTAATGTCGAAACCTGAATGAATACGAATGCTAGTCATGAAGGCTCCTTAGTTGATACGACTTCTTGAGAATATGCCCAGCAACCATATTCTAATTATAGAGGCTTGCATATTCAACCCTGAGCCCTTGTCCACATGAGATCTTTCATTGGACAACCGAGGCGCTCTCAAGCCACATCGCGGCACGCTCGGTCTCGCCGCTCTTGGCACAGGCGTTGATCAGAGCGCTAAAACCTGAAATGCGCGGTGGATTCCTAGGGGCTCTAGTACCTTATATAGTAGGTACCTGGGGGGTTAAGGATTGATGCGGGCAACAAGCTAGGTACAGGGACAGTCATGATGATCACAACCTGATACCAATATAGAGAAAATCCCAGAACTGCCGCACGGTAAGGACGCGACTCTGCGTCGTAGGGCACCTCGGTCGGGTTGTGCCCGGGATGTGTTACTTGTCAGAACGAGGTGAGAATTCAGGATAAGGTGTAGTGTAGTCTAAGCTAGGAGTACAGCTCCAGTGCGATGAAGAGTACTATGAAGGAAGCAAGAAGACTCATCACTAGTGTGCTGAGACTGGTTGCAACATCACCGTGACCCACTAAACCCTAACTATTAAAACCCTGAACACTAAAAACACGACACCCTGCACCCTAAATCGATAACCCTACCGCCATAACCGAACTGGAATGTTCACGAACTTGAAGCGTAACGGCCCGTCCTGAAACGCTGTCAATGGAGTTACCGTCTCCGTGTCATTCTCCTCAGTCTCCTTCACGATGCTGTGCGTGGCTTGATAGACCATACCAGTAGCAGGAGCTAGCGAGCCTCTGCGTCATCATTCACGATGAGATCGCGGAAGCCCTGAGGGTGTTCCTTCATGCGGTTGGAGTTCCGCCGCAAGCGAAGCAAAGCCATGCTGGCCTTGCGATGGTTGTACCCCTCCTCAGCAGCATCCTTCGGCCCTGACCCTGCAAGTCCCAGACCCCGAAACCCTGAATCCCCTGAACCTCTAATTCATCCCCCAACTAAAGCTCCAAGCCTCTGAAGCCCCTCATGAAACACGTTGTAGGACTCTCATACAAGGCCTTGCACCAACAACACAAAGAATCTAATTACCCTGACACTCGTATTACACAACACTACAAACACCCTGAAAGTCTTATCATAAAATGCTACAGAAACCCCGGAAACAACAAACATCGTGGTGCAGAGCCGGGTCGCAAATTCGCAGCCTCCATCTCCGCGAAAAACCTCTCCTCACCCAGAAAACGGTTTAGGATTGAACCGCCAAAAGTCGACAACAGACTCGCCGAAAACCTACAACAAAATATTCTTCTACGTCTAGGGTCCAGGAAGCGTTTAGGATTGAGGATGTAAGAAAACATAGCAGCTCTACTACTTGGAAAAAGGGGGTCAATAAGGCTTCATTTCAGATGGGTCTACAATAAGGGCTCTGTCGTATCATCAAGAGCCTTGAGAGTCACATAGAGTTTTTGCAGGCCATGCTATGGTAAATCCAAGTTCACCGTAAGGGTTTAGGGTTTATGGGTTTAGGGTTTAGGGTTTAAGGAACCCTAAACCCTAAACCCTAAACCCTAAACCCTAAGGGTCCGAAGGACCTGTCGAGCAGGCATTTGGGCTCAGGATGCTAAAACTTGTAGGGTAAATCCGTGGGAGAGCATATGGGTAGTTGTCAAAATTAGGGTCCCTTTTGGGGTACCCTAAATAATAGGTGCCGTATTATAATAAGGACCCAAAAAGGGACCCTAATTTTGACAACCACCCATATGATGATTCGGGGCGAAGGATCCTTAGGGTAAGGGTCCTATGGGAATATCCCTAAACCCTGCATAAGTCCCTAAACATCCCTACACCCTAGACGTTGGGACTCGGTGGTTTAGGGTGTAGGGGGGCTGTCGGGCTCATGGCTTGGAGGTGCGAAGTTGCGGGTGTGAGGGTGTCTTGGTCTACGTTTTCGGCCTAAGGCCGTTCAGGGATGTCATGTTCTGACAAAGTTTGGGGCTTGAGGGATGAGGGTTGGGAATCTAGGTTTGAAGGTTGCGGGATGTTAGTGCTCCAAGCCCATGTCGTGAAGCTTCGAGAAACCCGATCAACCCCGTGTAGAGCCGTTGTCCGACTGTCCAACCCTCCGAAATCCACAAGTTAAAGCCTCTCTCTACAGCGGCAAGTGGGAGTTGCAGAAAGACAGTTTTCTGCCACGTCAGAGCTTAATGTGTCCTCGCCCTCTCAAGATGCATAATGTAAGAGTGGGCTTCTTGGGCTGCATTTGCGTTGGTTCAGGGCTTAAGGATCGTCACCAAACTTGTGCAATTTGCTTCCAGGCTGCAGCATTTCGCACATCGCCCACGCGGGCGCATGCATCAATGACCTGGGTATCGGGTGCATATCCACCGATGTCGGGTGCGTGTGGTCGAGCTGTAGCGGAAGGGGAATAACATGGAGTTTCTGGGATGTAGCTACGCGAATCACACGTAAATCTGCAGTGTCACGTGTCAAGGCGGTTCTGGCCAGAGACAAATGTAGGCAAAATTGCTCCCGATTGGGCATCAAGCTGGCATCCTGCTTGCATGATTCGTGCAGTAAGCCGCTGCTCAGAGACGGTATCGTCAATACGGACAGCCCTCTTGCTTATGCATCAGGGGATGAAGTGCGGCTTCGGAAATATTTGGGCCTTGCTGCAAAAGCTCGGTGGGATCCTTCGATACTGAGAGCCCTTGGGCAAAAAGACGCCTAGTTGGAAACCCTGCGGGCGTTTCCTGGGACATCGAAAAAACTTCTACGTAAGTCCCTTACTAAAGGAGCTCTGCCTGAGCTATCAAAATAATGTGGGGGACGTGATCACTGAACAGGGTATTGCGACGTTTTGGGGTATATCACGGGGACTAGAGTGTGATTAGACTATACTAAGGAACCGAACCGAAAAAATAGGGCTCACGAGTGAGAGAGACCCCAATGTTGGAGATCCTTCAGATCTGCTTTTCCTGGCGGGATATCGGAATGCCTGGATGTTTCGTCAGAGGACCCCAAAACTCTGAAGCATGTTCCTGAGCGATAGAAAGCCAACCAATGTGAGACTGTGAAGCACGTGACTATGTCTCCGTTTCACTTAGCACGTAACCAACAACACTTCTGCAACTCCCTATTATAATGCCAGCAAGCAATCCGACACAGTATAACCAAAAGCCTAAAGTCAAACAAAAACTGTATGTCTTGAGGCCGCGAGATCTTGGACTAGGTTTGGGGCTTCAGCAGCCCTAGGCTACCTCCTACCGTTTCGGGATGTTTCGGTAACCGTGCCCAAACCTCCGGGCACTGGATCTAGTAGTAGTAGTAGTAGTAGTAGTAGTAGTAGTAGTAGTAGTAGTACTAGTAGTAGTAGTAGTAGTAGTAGTAGTAGTAGTAATAGTAGTAGGAGTAGTAGGTGGTCTCACAAAATGGAGGATCTCCCAGCTCTGGGAACGTTGCAGTGCCTGGGTTCGTTGCAAGCCCGAAGCCCTAAAGCCCTCCTCCTGACAACCCGGTTTAGGGTTTAGGGTTTAGGGTTTAAGGGTTTAGGGGTTTAGGATTTAGGGTTTATGTTTAGGGGCAAAATCCACCCCTAAACCCCCCCAGAATGCGAAGGCTAAAGCCCCAGAACTGAACCCTCAAGGCCCAACCTACCCTACGCTTTTAAGGCTCCTTGTGACATGTGGTGTCTATATTAGTATGCAAACCCTGAAGCAGGTAGATCAGTTGGGCGTCCGGCACACCCTAAGCCCGATCCTTTCGCACTTTGCACTTTTCGGGGCTCCGGCCGAGTTGTAGCTCTCTGCGGAGGGAAGAATGCGCCGACTTCTCATTTCTTCCTGAAGATCAATCATATCATATCGTTATTATGCGAAATGATATAACACAACAGAATACCATATAACACCATATTTCACACTACAGTAGGTTATGTGATCTAAACTAGTGAAATCTACTGCAATCTAATCTAAACTAGTCTAGTAGTATGTATACTATATTATCAGGTTGGTAGGGTCTATCAGCTTCAGGAGTGAAGTGGCTTAGAGCTACTAGCGTTTAGGGCCGAAGCTTCCTCGTGGACAAATTGGCTCTCCCCTTAAGACTTAGAATAGGGTTTGTTTTCATGATGTATTCTTCAATAGGTTCTCCTATCGGGTTGAAGCTAACAGGGACCTTCACCAATTGCCGATTCTGGCGCATAGCTTGTGTGGCTATGCTGTGTTTTTCTTGTCTGCTGCGGTTGCAGTTCAAAAGCAGGTCATGGCATAGTGGCTCTTGATCTTAAACCTATATACCCTAACCCAAAGAAAACTGAGGGGCAATATCGAGGCCTTATCATTCTAGTTCATTCCTCAGGTCTACTATCATTACATAAAGTTACAGTACTGTATAAACTGTTGACCCCAAGTCCTATTCTAGTCAGTAAAGCCCCTGTCTTTAGGCCTTGAACGCCTAGTCTGCGGCGATGTCGGGGATCCCGGAAGCCAAACAACGCAACCCTAAACCCTAGACACAAAACCACCCTAAACCCTAAACCCTAAACCCTAAACCCGAAACCCTAAACCCCAAACCGTAGGGTTTAGGATTCAGGGTTTAGGGCACACCTCAGAGCCCCAAGCCGAGGCTCGTAGCAGTTAGAGTAGGGCTCGGGGTAATGTAGGGGCCTTAAGAATTAGAATCGGGGCTGGATAGGGTTTTGGGAGGTTCTTTTTAAGGGTTCCTTAAAGGGTTCTGTAAGGGCTACTATAAGGGTTTAGGGCTTAGGGGCCTTAATGATTAGAATAGGGCTTTGGGGGGCCCATTATACGATAATTATAAGAAGGAACCCCCAAAATAGCATAAGTAATTAATCATTTAGGCCTTATATTACCCTAAACCCTAAACCCTGACCAGAAACCTGAACCCCGAATAAAGGGCTGATACGCCAAACCCATCAAGGAGAGTCCAAACCTGGAATGTAGTATAGTGGCCTGCCTTATAGTGTGAATGGGACTTCTGAAGTACATGATACGAGATTTCTACACTATCGAAACATAAAAGAACCTGTAAGAAAGTCTCTAAGAGCATACTACTACAAACTATTCCGACATCTCTTTATCAGCCGCTGTCAAGAAGAATCATCTAGGGGCCTAAATAATTACCAATACTGTTTTGGAGGGTTCCTTCTTATAATTGCAGTATAATGGGCCCCAAGATCCTATTCTAATAACTAAGGCCCCTAGTTTAGGGTTTAGGGTTTAGGGTTTAGGGTTTAGGGTTTAGGGTTTAGGGTTTAGGGTTGCATCCGTCTAGCCGTCACGATACACTTCACACACATCATGTCTCATCTTGAGGGGAGAGCTTCCGAAAAAGTCTTCTCTGTCGGATTCTACCTATGGCCTATGGCTCCCAGGCTGATAGGTTTTTTTTTATAGCTAACTTCATGTCTAGGTTCCTTAAACCTAAGATCAGGAGAACCCGAGAAAGAAATTGCAATGAAGATTCTGTAGGGTTCTGTGGCAGTTTTGGCCTCCGCACTTCTGCAACTCCGACATGCTACATGTAGCTTCCGAAGCATCTTCGCTTACTCCAACCCCGACATAACTACAATCCTGAGCCAACACAGCTCCAAAAACGCCCGACAGACTCATGAATGCCTGCAGTATAGTTGGAAATGTGAGCCACAAACGGCGTTCTTTGATTGGATTAGGGGGCCTGTAACTGTACACATCTTTGAACCATAGCTATGCCTTTTTATAGACTTTAAGCCCTACACCCTAAGCTGTAATCCCAAAGCCCTGAACTTTGAACTCCAAACTCCAAACTTTTCGCCCAAAGCCTCATCCAAACTATTTTTGCAGTCTTTGCTGCCCTTTGTGCTCCGTTGCGTGCATGAGCCGTATAAATCATGAGTGCAAAAGACCCTATATAGCCCGTGCATCAACCCACATCACAATGCTTACTGTTGCGACTCCGGGAGTGCTTTTTGCGAGAAATCTCAACCAGAGACGGGCCATATGACCAAGATGAGTCCTTTGAACGCCAAGCCCACCCGAATGAATAGAGCCGGAAGGTCAGAATCTTTCACAGTGTCTAAGTACATACATATGCACGCATATTTAACTTGAGCTACACACCTATTTCAGGGGAGTACTTCTGGGTCAAGAGGGGGAACTATGTTTTTCCGTCCGTCTGCCTTATGTATTGTTCAATGTCGAACTGTTTTGTTTGGGTGTTTATTTGTTTGCCTGTATGTTTATCGATCTGTTCCGATATGGTTTTATATGTACATACGTGTATATACATACATACATACATACATACATACATACATACATACATACATATATATATATATGTATATATGTATACATACGTGTGTGTATATATATAGAGATACATATATATATATATATATGTATATGTGTGTGTGCATGCATGTATGTATGTATGTATGTAGCATGCATGTATGTATGTATGCATGCATGCATCCATGCATGCATGCATGCATGCATGCATGCATGGATGTATGTATGTATGTACGTACGTACGTACGTATGTATGTATGTATGTATGTATGTATGTATGCATGCATGCATGCATGTATGT